AAAGCACACATACCTATGTGCATTGCAGCATTATTTACAAAAGCCAGACAGGGAAGCAGCCTAAGTGTCCATCCACAGATGGTGAGATAAAGAAAGTGGTGCACATGCACAGCAAAATCTGACTCAGCCACACACACAAAAAGAATGAAATCTCTCCATTGGCAACAACATGGTGGAGGGTATGGTGCTGAGTGAAACAAGTCAGACAGAGAAAGACAAATGCCAGATGATTGCAGTTATATGTGGAATCTAAAATATAAAGTAATCAAGCAGAACAGAAACAGACTCATAGACACAGGGAACAGAGTGATAGTTGTCAGATGGGAGAGGGGTTGGGGACTGGGTGAAAAAGGAGAAGGGATTAAGAAGGACACACTGGTGGTTACAGAACAGTCAGCAGGAAGTAAAGTGCAGCACAAGGAATACAGTCATTAATCATTAATATTGTAATAACTACACATGGTGTCAGGTGGGTACTAGATTTATCGGGGGTATCACTTTAAAAGTTATATAAATATGTAATCACAGAGTTGCACACAAGAAAGTAATATAATATTGTAGATCAACTGTCAATATTTTTATTTTATTTATTTTATTTTATTTTATTTCTATTTTTATTTTATTGAAAAATAAAAATATTTTAAAAGAAGATAAATATACCTTGAATTCATTATACAGATGGATTAATTTCTTAACTGTCCTTAGTAAAAATGAAGAATAAAAATGTAAAATACCTCCTATGATGACCAGAAAACTGCACAAACACACTTCTGCTACATTCATTCCCAAGTGTCATGAGCCCAGGAAAGTGACCTGTGAGGGCTGAGCCAGCCTCTTCTTCACAGAACAGCAAGTTCACTTAAGAGAATGAGAGACACAGAAGCTGTGATGACTGAGGTGTGGTGAACGGGCGAACATTCTCTCAAAATGAACGTGAGCTTCTCCCTCAAGGAGAGTCAATGGGCAGTTGACACCTGACAGCATTTGTTGTTGGATGGAATGGAAGCTCTCAGGAAAACCAGGGTTCTGGCAAACGTGTGTCTCACCACACAAACCAGACTACTATGCTAAGTGAAATAATCCACTGGGTGAATTTTCTCATCCTCCCCGCAGACCCTCCAAAGACACAAGTGACCCACCACCCCATCTCTGACCATGAGGTCACCCTGAAGTGCTGGGCCCTGGGCTTCTACCCTGCGGACATCACCCTGACCCGGCAGTGGCAGCGTAACAGGGAGGACCTGACCCAGGATGTGGAGCTTGTGGAGACCAGGCCTGCAGGGGATGGGACCTTCCAGAAGTGGGCAGCTGTGGTCGTGCCCCCTGGAGAGGAGCAGAGATATAGGTGCCATGTGCACCACCAGGGGCTGCCTGAGCCCCTGACCCTGAGATGGGGTGAGGAGGGGACGTGGGCTCAGAACCCCACCTCAGGGTGTCTCTGAGCAGGGTCAGGACTCAGGCCTCAGGTTGACCTCTCACCTTCCCCTCACAGACCCCCCTCCTCAGACCACCATCACCATCATTGTAGGCATTGCTGCTGCCCTAGGTCTCCTTGGAGCTGTGGTCACTGGAGCTGTGCTGTGGAGGAGGAAGTGCTCAGGTGGGCAAGAGGTGGCCCTGTTCCCTGGGAGTCAAGCCCAGGTGGAAGTGTGCTCTGCCTGGTTAATGGGCATCCTATCCCCACATGGGTGCTTCTCCATGTGGGGCCTATTTGCTGACACGGACACTTTAGTGAGGCCCATGGGAAAGTGAGGGTAGGGACACATTTATCACCTGTTGGTTCTAGCAATGGGGACTGATTCCCAGCTGTCACAGGTCAGAGGGGAAAATCACTGCTGATGACAGATGTCTAGAAGGGTGGGTGGTCTAGTCCTGCACATGTACTTTCCCTGTATTTCCTGATCCTACCCTGGGTGTTCAGTCACAGTTCTGGAAACTTCCCTGTGCTTCAAATGTATGGGGCTCCTTTAGGGTCACGGGACCCAGCCTTCCCCCTGACTTCTCACAGAACATTTTTTCCCACAGGCAGAGGCAGGGAGAGATATACTCAGTAAGTCTGGGTATTGGAGAGGTGGCATCTGGGACCCTTAGAGAGTGTAGAGTCTGTGAGGGGTGCTCCCCCACCCCATAACTCTGCTGTTGTGTCTTCCCCAGGCAGCAACAGTGACCAAGGCTCTTATGTGTCTCTCACAGCTCCTAAGGGTGAGAACCTGAGGGCAGGAAGTGTGGGTGTTTGGACCGACGGACACAGCTCAATTTTGGGAATCTCAGAGTGGGACATTCTGAGCAGAGGTGGTTGAAGGAGAATGTGACACTTCTGAGACTGACCTTAGTTTGTCCATGACAACTTTCTTTCACAGCATGACACAGCTGCCTTGTCCAGGACTTGGTACTGAAACACTCATTGCAGCCTCCCCTTGGGAGTTTAAGGATCCCTGACTGCTGTTTCTGCAACCAGCATTGGAATGTGTCTTCATCCTTATCAATTTCATTGGAGGAGCTGGTCACCAGGCCACCATCCCCACAGGAACCTGTGTCCTCTCCCCTGGGTAGTGTCCTGTCCTAGCAGTGTTGGAGTAAGGCCATCTTCATCCTGGTCAGTCCTCCGCTGGGTCATCTTTGTTGCTCCTTTGTCCTTGCTGCTTCAGGAGAGCCTTGTCCCTTTAGGACCTGCACTCACAGGAACTTGAGGGTCACCTGGGCCTTGTCATGGCTCCAGGACTGTGCTCAGTGAGGGCTTCCTGTGGATGAGTCATCCTGGGCTCAGGCCTGGGTTTGTCCTCAGCCCTCACCTTTTGGGTACTTGTGCTTTCTTTTGGGGAGGGGGTAGATATTGTATCTATTCTGGCTTTTTTAAACATAAAGCTATTGGGGTGTTTTATGTGAAATGTTAAGGGTGTGTCTTTTTATTAAATGCATTGTAGTGGCATTGGTTAATAGGGTCATGTAGGTTTCAGGTGCACATTTCTATGATACAGGATCTATATGTCTCTCTATTTGCCAACCACCCAGAATCAAACCATCTTCCCTCACCAGGTATGAGGTCCCTTCTCCCCCAACCCCCTTCCCTCTGGGAACCACCACACTGCTGTCTGTGTCCATGAGTTTCAGGTTTATATCCCACTTGTGGGTGACATCATAGAGTTCTTAATTTTCTGTCTGACTTACTGTACTTAGCATGACATTCTCACAGTCCATCCATGTTGTCACAGACAGCAGTAATCTGTATATTCCTGTGGCTGAGTGGTGTTTATGTGTGACTTTTCATCTCATTCTCCTCTGGGTGTCCCCATCTGACAGTGACAGGAGGCATTTTGCCTGCCATTGTCCCCACATGACCAGGGTGGCCCCTGCACTCAGGAATCTATGGTGTCAAGAGAGGAAGTTTCAGACTCATCTTGCTCTTACCTCCCTGGGTGTGATTGTTCTCCCACCTTTTCCCAGCCTCCTCCAGGGAACAGGGTTCTGGAATCAGCAGAGAGCAGGGGGCCTGTAATGTCTCATCTCAGACACGTTCCTGCTGCGATTCTGCTCTGCTCGGCCACCCTTTCCCCAGGCCCTTCTCTCTAGTGGGGGCCCCAGTGCAAACTCGGGGATTCACAGAGCAGAGATCCCTGCAGGTTTAGGGGGGCAGCACCGTGGGGATATGTGTGGGCATCGATAGCAGCATGAGTGCAGGTTGTAGTGTTGCTGCCACAGAACAGCTGGGGCTGAGGCCACATCAATAAAGACACTGTCATTACAATAGGGAGATGTCATTCAATGATGAGTCACTCAACTAGTAGTTTTTGAGTAGAGGGTAGATGACACACTATTTTTACACCTAGAATACCAACATATCATGGAGATATTTCACGACTGGGTCCAAACTATGACAATAAAGGATAATCACAATAAAGTGAGTCTCACAAACTCCTTGGTTTCATCGTGAATATAAATATTAGGCTTATGTTTACTATAGTCTATTGTGTGTTTAATAGTATTATGTCTAAAAATAATGTATATGACTTTATTAAAAAATACTTTGTTGTTAATGAAAATGCTAACTCTCTTCTGACCCTTTAGTGAATTGTAATCTTTTTGCCGGTAAAAAATTTTACCTTCAGTTGTAAAATAAACACAGCCTGGCTGGAGGGCTTGGCTGGAGCATTGCCCCCCACACACCAAGAGGTTAAGGGTTCGATCTCCATTAAGGGCATGTACCTAACTTGCAGGTTCAATTTCTGCTCAGGGTGGGCACCTCAGGGAACCAATCAATGTTTCTCTTACTTCAATGTTTCTCTCTCTCTCTCTCTCTCTCTCTCTCTCTCTCTCTCTCTGCCTTCCTCTCTCTGTAAAACCTATAACAACAATCCTCAGGTGAGAATGAATGAAAATTAAAAAACGCAGATCTGTGAAGTGCAGCGGCCTGCTGTATACCTGTGCGTCAGTGAACCGAGCACAGGCAGAATGGCCGGCCTTAAGGAGCACATACTGTGTGGCAAAGGGACAGACTGTGCACCTAACCTTCAGATAACACCCCTCTGTAACCAAATTACAGCAGCAGCAGCAGCAGTAGGAGTTTCCTGTACATCACTCCTAAGAACCAGCAGGTGGTCAGTCCGCACAACACAACTGTCTCCATGCTGTAAAGAGGGTAACAGCTGCAGGGTTAAGGTGGTCACACCGAGTTCAAGTGTTATTAGGTGCAGAGAGCAAGAGTACTTTATTAGAAGCCTATCATCTGTCCGACAAGTGTGGAATGTGATGAGAGGCCAGGAAACGCTCGACAGATTGAGGAACAGAAATAAAGGAGCGCCCTAAACTCTCTATACTGCGTGTTTACAGCCAAGAGGTAGGGCACGTGGCCCTCCTACAGGGAGGGTTGGAGAGTTCTCAGTGCGGGAGGAGTCAAGGCAAAGCTATGTCCCCAGGCCTAGATACTTGTGATGCTCCACCACCCGTTCTCGCTGGCATTGGTGTGGAGAGCACCAATCAGCGGCAGATCGGCCCATCTGAGAGGCCTCAGCGGGAACAGGAACTCCTTTTCCTCTGAAGACCCAGTCGGGCACATGGGGCCCCCAACTCTCCTCCTGCTGCTCTCCGGGGCCCTGGCCCTGACCCAGACCTGGACAGGTGAGTGCGAGGTCGGGAGGGAACGGCCTCTGCAAGCCAGGAGCGAGGGGGCCGGGGCGGGGCTTGGGGGTGCGCGGGACCCGGGGAAGACCAGTCTCCAGCGCCCTGGTACAGACTCCGGACTCGCGCATCCGCCCACCCCCGACTGACCCTACCGCTTTCCCGTCTCCTCTTCTCACCCGCGGCCCTCCTTTTTGCCCCCCGGGCGCCCAGCCCCCGCAAGCCCCACCGAGAACCCAGGACACGCGTCCTCCCGGACTCCTGGCCCCCACACCCTGAAATATTTAAGCACCGCCAAGTACGAACCGGGCCACGAGAAATACGGGTACACCGCAGTCGTCTACGTGGACGACAAGCAGATCTTGAGTTACAACAGTGACGCCGCGGACCCTAAGCTGCAGCTGCGGGTGCCGTGGATGGAGCAGTGGTGGGTGGAGCCGGAGGGCACACAGTTTTGGAAGGAACAGACGCGGGAAATCGAGCACAACGAAGAGTGGAGCAGAGTGAAACTGAACAACCTGCTAGCCCACTACAACCACAGCAACGGTGAGTCACGCAAGCCCGGGGCTCGGGGACGAACCCATCCCCACAGACGGGCCAGGGTCGCCCGAATATCCGGTGGAGCCTCACCTGGAGGCCTTAGCCCAGTGGGGGCGGGGAGGGGCTAACTCAACGGGGCTGACTGCTGGGCTGGGTCAGGGTCTCACACTTGGCAGGAAATGACCGGCTGCGTCGTGGGTTCCGACGGGCGCTTCCTCCACGGGTTCAGTCGGTTTGCCTACGACGGCACGGACTACGTCGCCCTGAACGAGGACCTGCGCTCCTGGACCGCTGCAGCGGGGGTCAGCTGGAGCAACGTTCTTCTGCAGGCCGTCGATGCGAACATCCGGAGGTTCTTCCTGCAACTCACGTGTGTTCGCTGGCTCCTCCAGCTCATGGAGAAGGGGAACAACACCCTGCTCCAAGCAGGTACCATGGCGCGGGCCTCCCTGAGGCGGGGATCTGTGGGCTGGGGCGGCTTCCTACAAGGAGAGGAGGGAAATGGGGCAGTGTCAGAATGTCCCTCCTGCTCGGGAGAGGAAAGAATCCCCCAGGTTTCCTTATTCTGTGACTCAGCTCGGTCCCAGCTTTTTTTAAAGGACAGTGAGGGACTCAGCCTCTCCCTGAAACACCCCACAGCGGTTCCCTCACACCCTGCAGCACCTGGAGCACCAGGACACTCTCCCTGGTTCTGGGGCTGAGACAATTCTCCGGAGACCTGACTTCTGGTTTTCTCAGTCATTCAGCCTCCACCTGAGTGTGTGTCTCCCCTTAGAGACTTGGACACTCCTGCTCTAGGTTCTCACCCTGATTCTGGAAATTTCAAATAAATAGGAGATTATCCCATGTGCCTCTGTCCAGGCTGGTGTCTGGGGGATGCACTCCCTTCCCCCACACCACTGTCCTATCCACTCTCCTGGTGGTCACGTGAGCACTGCTGGAGTTTCCCATGACCATGCAGACTTCCTGAATTTTCTCACCCTCCCCGCAGACCCTCCAAAGACACACTTGACCCACCACCCCATCTCTGACCATGAGGTCACCCTGAAGTGCTGGGCCCTGGGCTTCTACCCTGCGGACATCACCCTGACCTGGCAGCGTGAAGGGGAGGACCTGACCCAGGACACGGAGCTTGTGGACACCAGGCCTGCAGGGGACGGGACCTTCCAGAAGTGGGCAGCTGTGGTCGTGCCCCCTGGAGAGGAGCAGAGATACACGTGCCATGTGCAGCACCAGGGGCTGCCTGAGTCCTTGATCCTGAGTTGGGGTGAGGAGGGGGTGTGGGCACAGAGCCTCTCCTCAGGGTGTCCCTGAGCAGGGTCAGGACTCAGGCTTGAGGTTTACCTCTCACCTTCCCCTCACAGACCCCCCTCCTCAGACCACCACAGACCCCCCTCCTCAGACCATCATCATCATCGTGGGCATCGCTGCAGCCCTGAGTCTCCTTGGAGCTGTGGTCGCTGGAGCTGTGCTGTGGAGGAGGAAGTGCTCAGGTGGGCAAGGGGTGGAGCTGAGTTCCCTGTCCCCCTGGGGGTCAAGCCCAGGTGGAAGTGTGTTCTGCCTGGTTAATGTGCATCCTATCCCCACACGGGTGTTTGTCCATCTGGGGCCTGTTTCCTAACACTGACTCTTTAGCGAGGCCCGTGGAAAAGTGAAGGACACATTTATCACCTGATGATTCTAGTGATGGGGACTGATTCCCAGCTGTCAGAGGTCAGAGGGGAAGGTCCCTGCTGAGAACAGACGTCCAGACAGTCAGTCCCGTCCCCACACATGTACTTTCCCCATATTCCTTGATCCTACCCTGAGTGTTCAGTCACAATTCTGGAACCTTCCCTGTGCTTCAGGAGTGTGGGGCTCCTTTAGGGTCATGGGACCCAGCCTTCCCCCTGACTTCTCACAGAATGTTTTCTTCCCACAGGCAGAGACAGGGAGCGCTATGCTCAGGCTGTCTGTAAGTCTGGGTGTTGGGGAGGTGACACCTGGGACCCTTGGGGGAGTATGAGCTGAGTGCAGAAGGTGGGGGCAATTGGGACCAAGGGGCATGACGGGTTTTGGGGATCTCATAGTGGGGCATTGGGAGCATGGGGTGGCTGTGGGAGAATGTGACACTTCTGAGACTGACCTGAGTTTGTTCATGACAACTTTCTTCCCCAGCATGACAGAGCTGCCTTATCCAGGAGTTGGTGCTAGAACAGTCACTGCATCCTCCCCTGGGGACTTGCAGAATCCCTGTCTCCCATGTCAATGACCTGCATCTACCCCTGAACCCCTATCTTTTGGGCATTTGTTATTTGTTTGTTTTGTAGGCATTGTACCTATGATTGATTTTTTAAAAATAAATTTTGGGCCCTCATGTGGCCACCACTGGGTATCTGGCCTGCAACCCACCTATGTGCCTGGACAGGGAATCAAACCAGAGACCTTTTAATTACCAACCACATTCAACTGACTGAGCTACACCAGCCAGGGCAAATAAATGAAATCTTTAAAAAATAAAATAAAATAAATAAAATAAAGTAAAATTATTGGGGTGTGTCTTTATTAAATGTATTGGGGTACACTGGTTAATAGGATCATGTAGGTTTAAGGTGTGCAGTTGTACAAAACAGGATCTGTACATTGCACTGGGTGCCCACCACCTAGAGTCAAACCACCTTCCCTCACCAGGTATGAGGCCCCTCCTCCCCCAACCCCCTTCCCTCTGGGAACCAGCACACTGCTGTCTGTGTCCATGAGTTTCAGTTTTATATCCCACATGTGAGAGAAATCACAGGGCTCTTAGCTTTTTCTGACTGACTTATTTTGCTTATTTTGTGGGCACCCTGGGGGGGGAGCCTGTCTGTGGTTTTGAAACTGCCAGGAGGCCCCTGTGGCTGCAGCAGAGTTCTTGAGAGAGGTCAAGTTCCAGCCACATCATGCAGGCCTGGGGGACGTTAGAAGGACGTTATTGAGTCAGTTCTGAGCAAACATAGATACGGTGTGACTTTCCTTTCACTTAATTTTTTTCAGCTACAGAAAGATTTATTCTAAAGTTAGTACCGTGTATATATATTATAAGTGAATTAGATTAAAAACTACAAGGGAAACGGTTTCTGGTAGGTGTTTTTCTATCTACACCTTCAGCCAATTTGTTTAGCTGTTCTAAGTCACTATACTTTCATAAACTTACCATGAGATGTGGAGACAACCCAGGAGGGACAGACTGTGTGCCACAAGACAAGGGGACTGCATGGCTCCCCACTGATGTTCCTTGTGACCTCCTGTGCTCCTCAAGGGAAAGCCTTTAGGCCATGGGGTCAGTCTGGCTGCTGAGGACAGAATCAGGAGATAAAGGACCAGCAAAGCAGGAAGGAAAGGTGTGGGAAGCTCCCATGGTCCCAGGCTGCAGGTGCTGGGTGTTCTGACGGGGCTGTGAGTGGTGGAAACAGTGGGAAGGGACTGGATCCTGAATCCATTTGGAAGATAGATTTCACAGCATTTCCTAAGGATTCAATCTGGGATGTGGGAAAGGAGTCAAGGAGGACACTCCACATTTGTTCTGTGCCAGCAGAAAGATAGGGTTATATCAGCAGAGAGGGGGAAGACTCTGGCAGGAACGTGTGTGGGGGGGGGGGGGGGTATTTCAAACTTTCAGCTGAAGAGAAGGTCAAGGTGAGATGTCTGTTAGACACACCAATGAGATTTCAGGTTGGACAGATGAGTGTGGGGACCTTGAGGAGAAATATCTGGGCTGGAGACAGATGTGGAGGTGATGCTATGAAAACAACATTTAAATCTGTGAGCGTGGATAAGGCCACCAAGGGAGCCAGGCCTGTGGAAGAGGAGAGAACAAGGACTGGACACTGCACCTCCCCATCCCAACAGTGGGGATGTTCATCCTGGTGACCCACCCAGGCTGGTGACAGCCAGTTATCCCCATTATAAATTCACCATTTGGTTAATGTCATTCATTAGGAACTTACAGGGAGATATTCTGAGATTGTCCTGCTGTGCTCTTCACCACTTCTACACTCACCCTCCTTAGCCCCTCTCATAACTTCCACCCAAGTCAACAAAAATATGATGGTTGTCCTGTATCAGCCCTGGATACTTATGAGTAGGGTGTAGAGTACAGCACAGGCAACATAGTGAATAATACTGTTGTGACTATATATGGTGTCAGATGGGTACTAGATATAATGGGGAGGTTATTTAATAAGCTTTATACATATGTTTAATCACTCTGTTTTACAGCTAAAACTAATATAATGTTGTATATTAAACGTAATTAAAAAATTAAAATAATTAACTCACAGGCACAGACAGCAGTGTGATAATTGTGTGGGGGAGGGATGGGTGGAGGTGGGAGAGTGTGTGGGGGGATAAATGGTGATGGAAAAAGAAACAAAATAAAATAATTGTTTTAAGTTTAGAAAAAGTGCTAAGTTGACCAGTAAGAGGGACTTGGGGACAGAGTTTGGAGAAGGGAAGGAGCTGAAGGAAAGGGGCCAGTGAGAAACCCCATGAAGGGAGCTCCTGGCCCAGATGTCCCTGCATCCCAATGACATGTGACTAACTCAGCTCCTCCCCAGGAACAGGGGACACTTTCTCTGCCTCCTGCCTGCTGCTCCTCAGGGCATCTCAGAAATGGCCATCACTGTCCCCAGTCATCAGATGTGCCTGAGGCTGATCTGCAAGGACAAGTTTCTGTAATTTAGAGATGCCCCAGGCTCCCCACACAGATGGTGTCACTGACAGAACAGATGACATGATAGTGGCATCTCTGTGGGGAGATCAGGACCACACATGCTGTCCCTGCAACAGGGGTCAGGAGCCGCCCTGCCTGAGGAATCCCTGCACAGAGCTGTGGAGCTCAGACCAGCCAGGTGAGGGCTGCCTTGCATCCACTCTCAGTGCAGAATCAGAAAGGGTCAGCCCAGGAGGGACTCTGAGCTGAGTGGGCAGTGCTCTGTGTGGGACTGTGCTGAGCCTGCCTGGTCCTGAGCAGCCCCTCATGCCAGGGCTGGGCAGGTTTGAGGGGGAAGTGTAGGAATTGTTTCAGGAGGGTCCCTGCAGGTCCCTGTGCCCTGGAGTCCCCATTAGTGAGAGAAAGGGGTTGGTCCCTTGCAACCTGGGTACAGCCTTGTATGGCAGGAGCCATGAAGCTCCTCCACCCTGTACAGAAAATATTCCAATTTTCTGAGATTTCCCAGGTTTAGGGTCGGGTGTGAGGACAGGAATGTGAATTGCCATGCAGTATTTGGTTATGACTTAAAAATCCCTGATTGTAAAATAAGACCCAATGAGAGACACACACGCAGCTACAAACAGAAGGACACAGAAAAATGCCTGCCCTTCAGTGACCCCCACACACACTTGTCCTGTTTCAAATCCCCCTACAGGAGGTGCTGGCCTCTCAGAAAATTCTGCTGGGACACCGTCACCCTCCTGTGTGGTTACTGTGTGTGAATGTGACTCACATTTCTGTCTCTCATTGAATGGGTACATCCCTCTGACCTCTCTTAACCCGAGCGAGCAGGGAAGGAAAAAGAATTTGGAATGAGATGAAGTTCCAGTATTTTCCAAGTCTGCCACAATGGGTACATGTTGTGAAAATAACCAATATATGACTTTGAAAAAATAAAGTTATGAATAACACAATACCTTCTGCAGTAATTCAACAGTGTGCTTCATGCTTGGAAATAAGGTGGACTGAATGTACCTTGGGCCATGCTGTGGTCTGCATGTTTGTGACTATCAGTCCATGAGCTGAATTTACAACCCCCGGCCCTGGCCAGTAGCTCAGTTGGAGCATCGTTCTGCTGTCCGAGGCTGCGAGTTCTATGCTGGGTCAGAGCAGGTACAAAAGCTAACCAGTGAATGCATGAACAAGGAGAACAACAAACTGACACCTCTCTCTCTCTCTCTCTCTCCTCCCCTTTCCTCTTCTAAAATCAAAAAACCCCAAAAAAGAATGTGCATCTATTCCATTTCGCTCACCAACTGAAAAGCCCATATTTTGTTTCAAGTAGGTGAAGATTTTATTTCCTAGAAGAAGATAAAAACTGTGGGAAATGAAGAATTGTTTTAGCCATGATTTTGTATGTTTCTACAATGTGCTATCACGTTACAGAGAAAAATAAGTAGTTCCAGTGAGTTGCTTCTTCTTCACATGCAGACTTTTTGACACAGTTGGCCCTGTGTGAATGTGTTGATTGGATGAATAAACTCCTATTAAAGAGCTTTAAAGCTGCTATGTATAGATTTGTCACTTGGGTTTTTAGTTCATCACTGAAATTTGGACATGGAGTTTGGTTCACACTTGGGTTTGTGGATTAATTTATTTTAAACAAAGTACTACTTTTCTTGGCCAATCCATGTGCCTATGGAAGGAAATCAGTTGATGTTTCTCTCTCACATCAATGTTTTTCTCTCTTCCTTCCTCACCCTGTAAGAAATGAAATAAAATGTCCTCAAGCTGAGTATAAAAAAAAGAAAAGGAAATAAAAAGAAAACAGATCTTTATTTAAGGCAGCAGCACCAAAGCCAGAGTCACAGGTGAGTTGTAACTCTGAGGCCTGGCACCCCGACAGCTCCTAGGGGATGGGTTGCATGGGGGACTGAGGGACTTAGGGTAAAGGTCTCCACTGATTGGTCAGCACTAGGGTAGGGGGTGGTTGGTCATTGTATCTGGTCCAATGTCAGCCATGGCATCATTCTGTCAGGTTTCACACATTCATTCCACTGCTCTCCCCAGAATCTACACCTTCATGAGTACGTATTTGAACACATCTGATTTCCAACCATTTTCATCTTTGCAGACATCTGTCCACAGCCCTTGGTCCTGCCACAGAGGGACTGAATCCTTCACACCTAGAGCTGGGCAGACACCCTGGGTGTTCTTGCCCTCGTCTCAGGCAGTCCTGGCCTCTCCTGTTCTGGCTCCCCTGTCGCCTGGATCCCACGTGTTCCCCTTGTTTGGTTTACTTCCCCATTTCCCCCACTTTTCCTGGTAGTATTTTCCAAAGAAAGAATGTGAAAAATTAACTATGAAAACTCTAAATACATGCAGAAAATGTAGGCTATCCCAGCCCTTATTCATGTCCTGACTTGATATAGAACTCTTTGTTGGAAATATTTTTTCTTCAGAAATTGGAAGGCATTGCAACAATGTCTTCTGGTCTCCAGACTCACAATTGCTGCCTCTTGAGGTTTTCAAGGTCTCACCCACCCTCCTTCTGAACTCACACCACAATGTGACCCCATGTGGGTCTGTTTTTATCTCCTGTAGAGAGAATCTGATTAAGCTGTTCCAAATGTAAATTTTTACCTGCAAACTTTGAGAACTATTCTTAGAAAATGTTAAAATCATTTCCTCCTCATCATAAATTCATTTCTATTTCTTATACTATTTATAAACTGTCATTATTAACTTCTTGGAATCTCATGATTGGCGGACTAATAGGTCTTTTCTCCAGCTCACACA